CACATAGTGAGGTAGATATGTGGGGGCATGTTAGAACGAGCCGTTTTAGGGGGGCGTGGCAGAGTCTTAAATTTGATAAAGAATATCTCTTTGGTTTTGAGACTTTAGTCTTTGCAACTTTAGGGATCTTATCTATGCACAATCAGCTTGTAACACTCCAAAGAGAAAGGAAAACTTGAAATCGCATCATATGACCCCTTTAAAAAGTAAAACTTTTAATATTTCAGAAGTGAGAATACAAAGATGTTGTAAAATTATTTCATGGCAAAGCTGAATTTTCTGCAGCCATTACTCCAGTCTTCAGTGTCACATGATTCTGATTATCAATGTTGAAAACAATTGTGCTGCTTAATATTTTTGTGGAAGCCATGATGCTTTTTTTCAGGATTCTCTGATGAATAGAAAGTTCAAAAGAACAGCATTTATTTGAAATAATAAAAAGTCTTTACTGTTACTTTTGATCAATTTATTGCATCTTTAATACAATTATTCTTTTCTTTAAAAAAATCTTACCAACTTTTGAAAAGCAGTGTATATATAGCCATTGCACATTACTTGACACAAAGTGCATAAAAGAACAAGCACTGGGGCTGAGAAAAGCTAGAGATCTGTCTTCCTGTCTCTCACTTCAGTCTTTTTCCCTTAATCAGGCAACCCAGCAGCGACAGCGTGGCACAAACACCTCAGCTGCTGAGGCGCTATCCACTGGAGGACCACAATGAGTTCCCTCTGCCCCCTGACGTTGTGTTCTTCTGCCAGCCTGAGGGCTGCCTGAGCATCCGTCAGCGCCGGGTCAGCCTTCGTGACGACACATCTTTCGTCTTCGCTCTCACCGACAAAGATTCAGGTGTCACTCGCTATGGAATCTGCCTCAACTTTTACCGCTCTTTCCAGAAGGGCCACCACCGCCCACGAACTGAAGGAAAAGGTCAGAGCTCATTTTGTAGCGGTTTTATGAGGCAGAACCATTTTGTAATCCTAATTCAACTGATTAGTGGCTTGGTGTTGACAACTAACCATTTGTAACCCATCTTGAGCATCACATATGTATAGTGATGTGATTTTTAAAATGCAGACAGAATCCAATCATAAAATGGAATCTCCGTCTCACTATATGAGGACATTTCATATGAACTTCATCTCCAGAGCTGCTCTGAGAACATATTAATGTAATCAGTTAATTGTATTTTAAAATAGTAATTAAATTGTTATGGTTGTATGCATTTAATTGATTATCACAGTTTTTGATAATACATTTGTATTAAATTATAAAACACAGAATCCAAAAAAAATTTAAACATAACAGAATTTCTGGAAAAATAAAATAGACAAACAAAAAATTATATTTCATAGAGCACTAATAGATTATTAATAAGATTTATTAATTTGATTAGACATCCGTTTTGATTATGAACATTTTATTAAAGGATTAAAATAGAATCCAGAAAAGGTAAATCGGTAAAAGCTGAGAATTTGGGAAAAAATTTAATGGATTTCATAGGGCCCTTCTTATAGCTGTAATGGTGCAGTCACTACATAATTTCTCCTTAATATTTTTCTTTATACAGGAGAAAAGCCCCCTCATACAGACTCTGCAGTGGAGGCCACAGAGAAATTTGACCCCTCCACATTGACTCTTCCAGGGGAATCTACGCTGCCCCCTGCAGGAGATGGGACATTGCCACCAGGCGAGCCGGGCAGCACCGGAAAATCTCCACGATCCAAACACAGTGGTCGACTAGCACCACAGAACCGGAACAGCACATTAACGTCTCTGTGCATTCTGAGCCACTACCCCTTCTTTACTATGTTCAGGGAGTGTCTGTACATCCTCAAGCGCATGGTGGACTGCTGTAGCCAGCGGCTCAACCAAAGACCCGGTGCTGCTAAGTCCACACAACGGTGAGAACAGCCTTTATTCTTTTCTGTGAAGTATGCAGTTATGTAACATTACCCTGAGATTCAGCAAGATAATATTTGTGCACCGAAGCAATGCCTAGTGACTGCAGTGTTTTGCAATATCATACAGTAGATGTGTAAGTGTCAAATACGGTGGTGCTGCCAGAAGATGCTATCTCTGCATTACACCGTCACAACTGGCAACATTCTCCCTCTCAGTTTACAAATCCTGTTACTATCTCCGTTTTTGTTTATTCCTTTGAGTTAATTCACACAAAAATGAATTGAATTATAGTGATGCAATGAAATGAAAATTCTTGACAGAAACCCAAAATTATGCACCCGCTGCATCAAAATCCAAAACCCTTTGTTTGAAATGACTATCAATATTATTCCTTTATTAATAATTAAATGATTTACACTTCCCTTAGTTGACTTTACAACATATAGGATAAAAAAATTAACTAGGCTCCAAAGAATGTTTAAATATTGTTTAAATAAATATAATTAATATAATAATATAGACTGACACTGTTTAGTCACTGATAGTAAGCAGTGTAATATTGATCAACGTACTGTATACTCAATGCAAATGTAAACTATTTGCATTTGCATTTACATTTAGACTTCAGTCTGTTTATTTCTCTAGTCATCAGTGAGATTGATGCACGGTCATATTTGCTGTCCATGTGGAATTATGTTTATGCATCTCATCACCCATCATGCACTTATTTCCCACAAGATACCATCATTCAGTATTTACATTACAATAAATCAGTCATTCACTGAGAAAAAATTCTCTCTAATCTCACTCATTTTACGCACTTTCAAACCTGGCATGTCTTGATATATGTGAGAACCAATTAAAATTTTTGCACAGTTTCTTCTCTCCCTTGTGTTGATATTGCACTTCAACAAACAAATAGCTCTTCACATGTATCATAATCTAGCAACATGAATAGGAGTAGACAGTGAGCGAGTTCTAATTTTGGGGGGTGTATTGCCTCTAAAAATGTTATGCTAGGAATGCCAGAAGGGCTCGGCATTGTTAGATCCTGTAGTGTCGTGGCTGTGATTAGAATGACAAGCTGCTGATGATTTTATAAAAGGAAGTCACAAGTGGAAGGATGTGTGACGGTGCTTGTGACTTAGAGAGAGGGACGAGCGAAAAGGATGTAGTGTGAAGAAGTTGCAGCTGTGACGGGCTGGGATGAAGGATGTGTGAAGGAGAGAAGGACTGGTTTTCCTCTTGCATGTGCATGTGGTCTTGAAGTGTGGTTCTCCACACAGGACAGGTTTTAACTAGATCTCATTCACATATCTCAGTGGTAACGTTAACTACATCCTTGAGTGCATATTGGTAAACAATCTGCACAATAGCACTCTGCTGCAGATCAATAAGCATTGAGTAGAAGTTTTTTTATCTCTGTGATTTTCTCAGCAGAGTCTATTCTCGTGTAACCTAGCAACCACATCCACCATGAGCCACGGTCGCATTTACAGGCCTCAATTTGTTTGCAGTTGAATTGCCCTGCCAAGCCCATTTTATTTGCTCGCAAGTGTGGAGAATGATTTAACCAGTATAGCAGCCTGTGTTAAAGTATTCAGATCTGAAGTAGTTCATACTGTATGTTCCATGTAGATGCAATGTTTAATCCTTTTATTTTCATTTTCTTGCTCATTAAGTTTAAATTTTATCATGTCCATTTGAAACTGAAATCCACATTGCTAGGTGTTAGTCCACAGTTAGCTATAATTGGTGTTAGTCCATAATCAGCTAGTTGAACATTAAGGCCTGTGTAGGGCTTTTTGTAAGGATGAGGAGGTGATACTATGAATAAAAATGGACTTTAATTTCTTTGATGGATGTTGACAGTGAGATCCATGATGTGATCTTTTAAATGTTGTTCTTTTAATACTTAAAGTAATAGTTCATGTTGAAAAGCAAAACGTTTTAAGAAGCAAAGAGCTACATGCTTGTAATAAATCCATAATTTAAGACATTTTAAACTTCGAACCTTTGCCTCCGGCTAAAATACAGTCCATAATAGCAGTTTTGTACATGTTTTCGTTTGTAAACGGTTCTTGATCTTTGTGTATTTCTCTCTTGATTCAGACCAGATGATTTTTTTTTTTTACTGGAGAAAGCTATTTTATGAATTATGGACTGGAGCAAGTGATATAATGTGCTGAATTTCTCCAAATCTGTTCTGATGAAGAAACAAACTCATCTACTTCTTGGATGGACTGAGGGTGACCAAATTTTCAGCAATTTTTTTTATTTTTGGCTGAACTATTCCTTTAAAGTACTGACACAGAATGTGATTGCTCCTGTGTTTAGTCTCACCTTGGTCATGAACAGTGTTGGGCAAGTTACTCTTGCAAGTGAAAATTTAATCAAATGACTGATTACTGATTACTCCTTTTAAAAGTAATCACGTTACTGTTCTGATTACTTTATTTCAAAAGTAATTAGTAATTAGTTACATTACTAGTTACGTTACTTTTTTCTCCATGAAATTTATGAAATCCCAGCATACACGCTCCCGATAAATATGTTATTAAAGCATCAACATTCACAGAACACTGTTATTTTTAACTAAAGCAAGTGGCTGCTGCGTGCATGGTTTGGCATGGCAGAATGCCAGCAAAGAGCGCTGTTTATAATCTCTAAAAGACATCTCAGTTCATCGCAATCTCACAAATCTCTATTATAACACAATAAATATATGCATAATGAATCTTTCATAATGTCTACAATTCGTGTGTTATAATGAGAGGATTTGTGAGCACGCAAATTTCAGCACTGCATTGCTCAATGCTGCAAACACGTGTTATAGCCTAAATAGAAAGTCTGCATACGCTTGCACCTGTTAATCGTTTATATTTGAATCATTTGCATCCCGCACACACACGAGTCTCTGCATTTGCCTATCAAGTCTTGTCCCGCGCCGCACTCGCCGCACTCGGGTCTCGTGGGAGCAGGTCTCTAATCCACTGGGACTTGACTCGACAGTGCGTG